CTCCAAGCTCTGTCGTGATCCTTGCTCAGAAAATTTAAAAGGGACGTTTATAGTAAAGAATGATTATCAAAAAGAAACGAAAGCTTCTCAGTACGCGATTAATTTTCTCAGTGTGTCATATTTGCTGGCAAAATATTTTGATCTCGGTAAGCGGCCAAGTTTTAAAATGGATAAAGACAGACGGAATGCCCTTTGACGGCCTTTCGTGGTAATGAAAATCACGGGATCACTATCTTGATCACTGACTTCATTTTAAGTTATTTATAAATAAACTTCCTCTGTTTCTCGGAACACTTCTGGATCTACTCCCAAATCTGTCATGCGGTCTAAACGCGTCTTGGCCGCGTTTGGCCTGAACCAGAGGCCCATGATTCAAGCTTCGCTTATCTTTGCAAGCTTTTTGTTTGTCTCTCATCGAAAGTTGCAAGAAACGAGCACAAAACCACTTTTGGAAAGCTTTAACCAATTCTTGAAGCTTTTTTTTTTGTGCCATCGCTATTTCAACTTCGCAAAAAGACCACAACCAAGTTAGGATAAGTTAAGAAATATGGGTTATTGACCAAGTGTGAGGTCAAGATGGCTGGATATTGGCCAAGTTCTTTTTTTGCGAGTTTATGGACCGAGACGGAGTCGAGGTCCNAAGATAGCTCCATCTTGCCCGCTCGGGTAGCCAATCACAGCGCAGGATTTGATTCATCTTGCCCGCTCGCGGAGCTTGCCATATAATAATGGTAAATATTTACTCTGCAAAATCACATGATTCGGCATCAAATTTCTCTCCCCGATTTGCCCTAACAATGCAGAACAAAACAGTTCCGGAAAGGTTTCTCAACGAAGAGTTTCCACCATCAAAATATCCACAAACATGTCTAGTAATCTCTCTTTACTTACAGTTCTCTTTATTCTGTGTTATTTCATCAAGAAAGGCCGAAATGTCGTCGTTTATACCACGATAACTCGAGACTCAAACGGTGATTACTTCACGAACGTCTGCAACAATTGCTACAAATATGGCGCTGCACTCGATCAAGGTGTTTGTAGATGTAAATCGCAAAGCTCTCTCTTTCTGAGATCTGAAAAGCGCTGCTCTCGCGAGGACAAATTTTTGTGTAAGTACAGTGGTTGTGAAGCGTATTTGGTTCTAAGTTTTATACAAAGAACTTATGCAGGTTTTTGAAGCTCACAGTTAATAAATTAACACGATACAGCTAGTAAAAGTTGCTGGGAGGAAGCTAGAATTATGGTTGATGTAATGACTGTTGTATACGTTTATTCGTTAATTTATTGCAGTAAGCTATCTATTTAAACATGTAGACCTTTCAGCTCGAGATTTGGCGATTAATTTTTGACCTGACCTACCGACTTTTAGGCTGGTTTCTACTAGCGCGTATAAACACAGACATAAGCCGACGGAGTAAGATGTTGATAACTAATGAATATTAGCGCCTAATCTGTTGAAAATTTTTCAAACAAAAGGTGGTAATTATCAGCATCTCACTGCATGCTACCTGTGCGCTGAGGTGCGGAAACCATCCTTTACAGTACTAGTGTGAATCCGAAAAGCATCACTTTGATTTGACTTGACCAAGACCAATCGGATTCTTGAGAAAATTCAATTTGTGAATTAAAACGGAGCTAGCTGGCATCAATTTCCTGATCGATTGGACGGTAGTGCTGTCATGTGCCATCTCCTTGTGGTTTCATACATGCGGAATGATAAGTCGCTGTCTGGGGAGGGGAGTCGGGTTTGTATATCCCCCTTCCGAATTTTCAAGATCATACACGTAACATCTTTACTGTTGGTATTTTAGTATTTTTCAATGCCTTGTTACTTGTCAGAGCTTTATCCTAAATTCCAGTCTGTTTGTAGTCACTTCACACTATGGATTAACTCTCATTGGTGTCTAATCATTTAGCAGTACTCCATGTATTATATGACTGAACTGGTCTGTGATGGAAAGGAGAATTCACGTTGGTTCCCTGAGGGGTCCAAATTTTAAAAATATTGACTTATATGGTGGACTGCTCACGATCGTGAATATATTAATTTTGGGGAACTGCTTTTTCAATTCATTAGACAAAATAAACAGAATCTTTTATTGTTTATGTTTGGAGGTCAATTTCAGTTAAAGTGATGTGATATGAGTTAAAGTGATGTGAGAAATGTAAATAAATGGCAACACCTTTTGCATCCATGGGCATTTACCCAGAAAGGATCGCTCGTATCAAAAAGAGCCATTAAAATGAATACTTTATTAATCCACATGTAGCTTGGTTAATCTGTTTTGGAGAATATTGGTCTATTAAATGTTCTTCTTGTTTGGCAAGTTTTAAGGTAGTTAATATCAGATGGTGAGCCACCTTAGTGGATATGCTGATATTAAACCATTATTTTTATTATTATGAAATTCAAATCTCAGCAAATGATGTTTATTATTATTATTATCATTATCATTATCATTATCATTATCATTATCATTATCATTATTATTAAAAATTATTATGATCATCCCTTGTTTTTATCCCAAGGATGTATATACACGTCCTGAGTGGTCGTGCTCTTAATGTATAACCACTTATGATGTCATCAATTTAAATGTCACCATATATTCTTGATAAGCAGATGGTAGAGCTAGGATAGATCTATCTGCACAACGGTCAGTTTCAGATATTGACAGCATTCAGATGTAGCAAATTGAAAAACGTTATCAGTTTTGGTGCAAAAATGGTGGTAAAATGGCCCATTATACCTACAATTGATCAAGGTCCCATTTCTAGGCTTTGCCCATAATTAATACCCAACTTTTTACGGCAGCCAGAAAGAATACACGCAAAAGCTAGCAAAAGTTACAGGGCCAAGAAAAAGGAAAGGAAGTGGGCAAGAAGAAAAATTTGGAACAGGTAATCGCCAAAAAAAAAAGGTCAAATTTGGATTATGCACAGGCACCAGATTGAAATATTGCACATTTTTGTACCTTTTTCTTCAGGAAATCTATCTTTTTGGTGAAAAATAGCTTTCTCAGCAAAACTCAGGTCCATTTAGCGTCATTGCGGCCAAAAAACTGATTTAACGGTTAAAAACGGCATTTTTTGGTGAAAATTTAATAGTCAAAGGGTTATTATTATTATAATCGCACATTGTATCTATGACAAAATTCTTGATTGTGATATGTTCTCCACTCGCCTATTTGCCACGTAATCGGCATATGATCACGTGGGTGTCCAATTACAGGTATCCAATTTGAACTTTTTGTAATTGGACACCTGTGATTGGATACCCATGTGATTCGCACATCAATCTGCCATAGGAAAAAAGATGGCGATTGATACATTTACCCATAATTCTTAGCTCAAGGAAACTTAAAAAACGCTCCTAAAAATGTACAAAAGCGTTCTAAAACCTTCAAACCCAGCGTAGACAATGTCAATAGCACATGAGCAAATACTGCAAAAATGTGGCTTTCCTCGTACTTTACAGGCTGTATTAGGCTCGCATGGTATTGTGGTAAAATGTGCAGCCGCCATCTTTTTTCCTATGGAGGATTGTGCATGCTTTAATGGCTTTCTTTGCATTGTTTCCTACAGTTTTCAAAACTTATAAAATGTGCTACATACGTTTTCACTCAAAAGAAGTTCTCAAAAGACATTTTAATTCCAAAATTTGTCATAGATACAATTAATTAGTAATTGGACCTCATGTCGTGCAATTCAAAGAGTAATCATGCTCGTAATTTCAAATCGTCCTTGTGCTTTGCACTCGTCTGATTTTAAAATAACTTGCGCGATTACTTCCTGACTTGTATTCCACTCGCTCCAATTACTATTACTTATTATTATTATTATTATTATTAATTAAAGTCTTGCCGCTTTTAACTTATGGTGCCGAGTTCAATCTGTGAGCCTAGGGCAGTCATTATTATTATTATTATTATTATTATTATTATTATTTTAATTATTATTATTAAGTTTGCATTGGACCAAACCTGAGGCTTGGTCCATTAACTAACCCTGCATTAAAAAAAAGAACTCAACCGATATTTCTCCAATATGGACTGACATGCTAGTTTAATATTAACATGTAAATTATAACCAATTTTGCTTAATTCTGTTGTAGTTAAGGAGAAATGTCAGCAGTGGCAATATGAGCTTATAGAAGTCATTGACACTGAAAAAAAGGATTCAGAATATACCTTTTTCAAGAAACCTGAGCAAATGCAATCCTCTTGCCAGTTGGAGCCATTAATATCCTTTTATAATAGTACCATGGGAGAGTGGCAGTTTTTCAATCTATCTGGAAATGTGTTAGCACTGTTAGCGCTGCACAGTGGTCCACTAGCCTCATCTATGCTAAAAGTAAAGGTATGCTTTAAGTTAGTGGTCCAGGTTAAGAACCCTGGCCAGGGACATTACGTTGTGTTCTTGGGCAAGACACTTAACTCTTACAGTGCCTTTCTCCACCCAGGTGGATGTACATGTATAATATAAATGGGTACCTGAGCCAACTTTGTATAATATTATAATTAATTTACAGTCCAACCCCTATTAAGCGGCCATCTATTAAACAGCCACCCCTACTAGGCAGCCAGTAATCTAAGTCCCCGTAAGAGCTTTTCTATTGTTTTTGCTTCTATTAAGCGGCAAATCCCTTTTAGGAAACTTATCATGGTGGAAAATTAGTTTATCTAGATGTGCCCCTCTCCTCTCCTTCTGATATACAGTGTAATTCAAGTTAAGTGATGTAATTTCTGTTTTATGCGTTTTTTTCTTCCTTACAAAGCACTATCGGTTACTATTTACTTTCTTTACATTATATTTACATATCTATGTATTAGCTAGGAATTGGAGGAATAAATAAATAAATAAATAAATAAATAAATAAATAAAAATCCCTTTTACAATCCACTATCCATTTCCCCGAGGGTTGCTGTTTAAAAGGGGTTGAACTGTACTTTCATGATCTATCATGATAGAGAGATTTATTCTCTTATACAGCAGTTATCTGAAAGTTCTAGTGTATCTAATTTTCTACTGGCAGGTTACTCATGTATCTCCTAGTCTGACAAAGTTCAAAGGTTATGTCATGAAACTGGGATTGAAGTGCATCGATAAACACAATGGAAACACAGAAGAATATTGTTTACTATTTAAAGCAAAGGGAAAAATACATTGTAAGTATCACTGAGAAATATTTTTTAAGTCAAAATCCATTCTGCATGTGAGTCAAATGTTTGAGTCATTGCTCATTGGGTGGCCGTATATTACAGGTTCTCTGAGTTTTTAAACGTCAGGCAGTTGGTGGGCAAGATGGAGATAACTGACAACACAGGTCGAGTTGTATTGGGCTAAACAGCCCTCTGGTTGCCTAAATCAGTACTAATGAGCTCACTCTGGTTAGCTTAAATAATGCTGATGCATGAAATTAACAGTTAGCTCTTAAATAACAAAAAAAATTTAAGGCTGATGCAAATTATATTCATTTGTATAATTAATATAAATTATTCAGATAAATGACTTAAGCTTGACTTCAGGCTTGGATTTCATTTGGCCAACTTAGCTGACTCTAGCCTGTGGTAAGAGTTATATTAATGACCATAAGGATTTAAAAGTCCTATTCTGCTCTTTTTGGATATCTTAATAAACGAGGCTATTTTTTTTGTTTTAGCTCCACTGAATTGCAGTGTGTCTGTTGACTCAACAACATTAACACCTTCAATAACAGCTCCTGCAAAAACAAGTACCCTAGTAACTTCTCCAATTGCAAGTAGCCCAGTTGTCATAGTCACACCAACAATCACCTGTACATCATATACTGCAACTAGTACAAAAAGACCGCCACCAACCTATTGCGATGAGCCAGACCCACCACTGGTAATTAATGATTATAACTGCTTTAGTTGCTTGTTAATGGCAAAACTGCAGAGGCTAAAGTAGGCCTTTTGCTTTAAGGTTTAGCTGTTGAGTCCTGTTGTGTTTAGGAACCTGAGTTTTTGAAAATTATTTGTTGTTGTGGTTGGTTTAGTGGATCAACTTTTTCAACTGGAATTAAACTAGTTTGAAATTGCTGATTTGCTTGGAATTTCTCATTCAAATGCTTTGCACCTATTTTCAAATAAAATTGCTATGCAATATGTGCTTGATCCTTATAGAAAAATTGGTGGAGCAATATAATGATTACTTGTATACTGTAAACTTCTGAAAGTAACGACCGCTTGAAAGAGCGACCCCCTGAAAGTACACGTCAAAAACCTGTGGCCGCTAATAAATCCCAAACATAACGACCCCCCAAAAGTAGCAATCCCGCTGATAGTAGCAAGCCCACCCCGAACCCCACCTCCCAGGTTCAATGGTATCATTTTCAACAGGAGTGTATTAAAGGAATGCACTGAGAAATTGTTTCAGCGGACTAACATAGCAGTGCATCATGAATATATGCATATGGATATAGTTAGGTTAATTAAATTATATTGGAATAAAAACGTTCTCTGGTTAAAAATATATTAAAAACATAAGCTTTCGGCTATCAGTCTATAGCCTTTAACGAATGAAAAATGTGGCGCGCAAGTGAAAATATATACGAATGGAGTGCGAAAAATTGAGAATAAAAACAAGCGTGAAACAAGCTAGAAGATGAATATGTAAATGAGGCCTGATTACAATAAAATCGAGTATTGCCTAGGCAACGGTTTTGAGTTGTTATTTTAGTTATTTCTAGTTATTTTCAATGTAATGTTGTTTACAAAATTCCATGTAAAGACTGCCGTTGGAATTACATAGGAGAAACCGGAAGATGCTTCCAAACCCGAAAAAAAGAACATCAACGAAACTTGAAGAACT